ACATAGTATATTTACTAAAAATGTACCACCAGTTGCATTAAAAGCATATCAAACATCAGTAAAAGATGATCAGTATATTCAGCAGGAAATTCAAAATATGTTATATCAAGAAATTATACGACCTTCTCAAAGTTAATGGAGCTCACCCGTAGTTCTTATAAAAAAAAAGAATGAAAAAATGAGATTCTGCATAGACTATAGGAAATTGAATGATGTAACAATAAAGGATCGATATCCCTTACCAAGGATTGATGAATTATTAGAATCTTTGGGAAGAGCAACATGGTATACTACTTTAGACTTAGTTTCAGGGTACTGGTAGTTTAAGATTAGGAAACAGAACAAACCCAAAACAGCATTTATTACAAAATATAGGTTATATAAATTCAATGTAATGCCATTCAGATTGTGCAATGCATCAGCCACCTTTTAACAAGCTATGGATGATATATTACGAAAAATAAAAGAAAAATTTGTATTAGTATATCTTGATGATATTATCATATTTTTTAAAAGTTATGACGAACAAATACAACATCTCCAACAGGTTTTCAATTTATTAAAAGAAGCTCAATTGAAAATAAATCCAGAAAAATGTCATTTCTGCACAAATAAATTCAATTTTTGGGACATGTAATATTAGAATAAGAGATACAACTTGATTCAGCAAAGATTGAAAAGATCATCAACCTCAACGTTCCATTCAATGTTAAATAATTACGAACTGTATTAGGATTATTCTCTTATTACTGACGCTTTGTTAAAGCTATTCTAAATTGGTAAATTTATTAAATGACTTGTTGAAAAAGGATGTGCCTTATGATTGAACAAAACAACATCAAAAGGTTTTTGAAATACTTAAGGAAAAATTGACAACTGCGCCAATCTTATCCTATCCTATTCTGATTTCAATCAATTTTTTATTTTAAGTACTGATGCAAGTACTATAGGACTAGATGTAGTACTTTCACAAAAAGATGAAGAAGGAAGAGAACGTCCTATTTGGTACGCAAGTAGAACATTGAGCCCAGCTGAGAAAAATTACCATATTACTGAACAAGAGGCTTTAGCAGTAGTATAGGCAGTTAAGTATTTTAGGAGGTACTTAGAGGATAATATATTTATTATATATACTGATCATTTGGCATTGCAGTAGTTGTTGAATCAACACACTAAAGAAAAGGATAGTAAAAGGATTATCTGTTTGAAGATTTTATTACAACAATTTCAATTTAAAGTAAAATATCACAAAGGAAAAGCAAACGCAAATGCTGATACTCTCTCAAAAATTGACGAATTACAGGCACCAAATACATTACAAACTCTAACATCAATAATAGATCATTGATAAACAATAATATCAAAACATAATTCAATACCTTACCAACTTCACTTACCTAGGAAATTGCGATACTTCTCAATGGAAATAAATTCAACGATTATCAACTCACTACATTGTTAAAAATTCACAATTATACAAACTAACCAAGGAAGTATTAAAAAGAGTAATTACACAAGAACAAGTGGAAGTACTCTTATTTAATTTATATAAAGATATGTCAGAAGCCCATCTAGGAATTGAAGCAGCATACAATAAGGCTAAAAAATAATATTATTAGCCTCAAATGTTCGAAGGTACCAGAGAATATGTGAAAAATTGTGATAACTGTTAACGAAGAGGGCCAAGTACCAGAAAAGAACTATTACATCCTATTTTAGTTAAAGTACCTTTTCATCGGGTAGGATTAAATATAAAAGGATCACTACCTATTATAAAAACAGAGAATAGGTACATAATAGTTGCAATAGACTACTTTACAAAATAGCCAGAAGCTAAAGCCATTAAGGATATCAAGGCTGATACAGTAGCGAAATTTCTATATAAAGAAGTGATATGTTAATATGATGCATCTGAGAAAATACTCACAGATCGAGAAACATCATTCATAAATCAGGTAATAGCACAATTATGTCAAAAGTTTCAAACGAAACATCGATTGACATCACCATACTGACCTCAAACAAATGGAATGGTAAAAAGATTTAATCAAACTATAGGAGAGAGTATTTAGCCAAATTAGTATATGATCAAGAAAATGAATAGAATACTTATGTTTCATCAGTATTATTCGCCTACCAAACAATAAAACATAAAAGTACAGGTTACACTTCATTTTACCTTATGTATGAATGACAAGCAATATTATCAATAGATTTGCAATTAAATTCTGTTAAAACAGATGAGTAAAATGTTAATGATGCTCTGATGAATAGATTAACAAATTTAATTGACAAATTGAAACAAGATAAACAGGATGCACTTAATAATATGAATCAAACACAAGAGTGACAAAAAGATCAGCATAATGATCAGTGAGTATCAGAAAGATTAAAAATCAGAGAGAAAGTTCTAGTTGAGAAAACATGGAAACGACGAGATATGTCAGCCAAATTGGAAGCTCAATGGATTGGTCCTTATTATATTCATGATATAATTGGTTTCAACAATTACAAATTAAGGTCACTAAACGAACGAATAGTTAGAGGAACAGTACATGGTGATCAATTAAAGAAATATAACAAACAGGAAATGGAACTAATAATAATTATTATCTAAATTAGATACCAATCTTAGTATACTCCTGATGATCAATAATTATAATATAAATAGATTAAGATAGTAATAACAAGAAAAAGGATGTTACAGGAATATCGACAGATGTATTTTGATTTATTAGAATTTAGTCTATCTAACGTAATTTTACTATTCTTACCTAATATGTCTTCTCAAGATTTAAATATGAAGATAAAAACACTATTTTGATATACACAACGACAAATAGTTACAAGGAAAAGAAAAGTCTTTAATTTATCTTTATTATATAGGAGAAATAATTGACAAAGAAAATATTTCACAAAAAGATTCAAAATTATCAAAGTATTATTATACTGCAGCGAAATGATTATTTCTTATTTTTGAAAACATATTAAACAAATTATGAGAATACAACATGTTAATATTCAAATAGTGAAAAGACTTAAAATTAATGAACTTAATGAATTGATTCAATGGAATTCTGTATTGAAAGGACCTGATCTTGAAATAGAAATATAAAGTTATTAAAAATTAGAAGTCGATATCATGTAATTAAAAAAAAATTTTATTTATAATTATTATTTTATTGGAAAACTTTATAGATTTAAAAAGGGCAAAAGCGCAACGATGTGCAAAATTTTATTTAAATAATTGAGAAATACAAATTTGAGATACATGAAAATCAGAAATATGAAAAGATACAAAAAGGAAAGACTATTCTATAAAATATAACAAAATTATAAAACTCAAAGGAAACTATAGGATAGAAAAGAGGAAAGGGAGCGTAGGTCACATATTAGTTAAAAACGTACGATAAGCGTAAATATGAATTAGCTGAAGCGTACGACATCCTTTTCCATTAATGTTAACAATCATTAATTATTACGAACATAATAAGAAAAATTGAATTCACAACTTCTCTGGTGTAATTGTACGATTACTTCTTGAAACAATTACTGAAGATGAACTATTTCTTCTAAAAGTCGCTCCTCTCTTTCAAAAGGCGAAGCTATTTATTGTTGAAGGTCATTAAAACGTTGTCAGAGACTATTGTAGAGAAACTTTAAATCTAAAAACTTTTCATTCCTATTGTCTAAACAAGAAGAAAGATTTGTCAGTTCATTAGTTAGTTTAATAATTTCCCGTTATTGTCGATGATTCTCTATTTCTAAGTTATTAATATATTCTCGATGTTCTCTGAAAGAGCAGATTGGCGAGTGATGAAAAAATAACTTCTTTGTTGTTTATCTATATTTAAATTATAAAAGAAAAATTATTATATATTTTAAGAAAAATTTGGAATTTTACAATAGTTTTGGATAATAAGGCAAAATTTAAAGGATATAGATAAAAATTTTTGACGAATATTTTATACATAAAGGAACTAACTGTGTCGAACTCTTGAAAATTCTCAAGATCGTGAGAATTTCCTCTTCTGTAAAACATAAACAAATAATTATTGATAATCATCATGTGAAATCACGCAATTGATCAATAAAATTCGCAATACGATCACGCAATCAATCAGCAAATTACAACCCCATAGAATAATTTAAAATGAAATAAAATATTTTAGAAAATTTGTTATTTAGAAATCTATAAACAAAGAGTTTTATAGTAACAAATATTTTAAAAATTCACTGGAGTTCATTTTTAAAAGGGGGGATACTATTATAGGAAGATATTAATCCAAAAGATCATGTGACATACGTGACCAAAAAGCATATTGACTGTATCACGTTAATTAACGAAGATGGCGAAGAAGAAAGAAATGAATTAAACAAAAATTACGCGAAAAATCCAGAAGTCGCCGAAAAATTCTATTATATTATTAAATATTTTGTATTATTAATCATTTATTATTTATAATCAATTAGTATTTTATTTATTTATATTAGCAATTTAATATAAATAGGATAGCTTTAGGACTTAATTAAGACAGACAACTTTGAGTAGTAATAAACAGTAGTAGAATAACAAGAGATAATAATTTGTAAACAATTAGAATTTAATTAATTTTTATCACTAACAAGATAAATACTAATAACAATTATATGCTAACAAATATAATTGTATCAAATTCTTTATTCCTAAATAAAATCCTAAAATTTATTCTAAATATACATTATCGTTTGAAATAATAATTATTTGTAAACCCTTCAAAGTTCTCCCTAAAAAGTATTTAATAAAAGCTAAATCCCTTTGTTAATCTTGCGTTAATATTAATTTTCAGTCAATAGTATCATAAGATAACAATATTAACAACAATTATTTATAATTATTAAAAATAAAATATCAAAAGGCTTGATTGAGAATGATCAAAATTTTTTTTTCAAAAACAAATTAGATAACAAAGAATCAATTCTAATACATATCTATTCTAATTATCTTCGTAACAATTATTTTATATTATTACATTAATCTAAAGAATATCACAAGAGTAATGAAAAAAATTATTGAGAAATTAGAAATATTCAATGTGAGAAAAAATTAATAAATCTTACCTTTTGAGAAGTTGCTAATGTTTTTCTCATCATCATCATTTTTTCTATTGGAATTTTCTCATTATTATTAGTGATGGTTGATACATAAGGTGAAAGCCTCTCAATAAATTCTTCTATCAATCTCTGCAATTGGCATATAACATAAAACAGAATTGATGATTTGTCAATTGGTATAATAGACATATTAAAAAACTTAAAGAACTTACCTTTAAATTTACAATTTCATATAAGATGACTTCTACCAAACAAAGACTAAGATTGCTCCTTGGCAATTCAAATTCACCCAATAAAAACATCCTGTACATGCCATCATATAACAGATCCACTGCATAAATTCTAATATTATAACCTGTCAGAGAAATTGATTAGCTTTCAAAAATCATAATATTCAACAGAAACAATTGTTTATGATAGATACCAAATGAGTGAATTCCAAAGACAACCATTTCCAATTCAACTCCTTTGCCATAGATATCATCAAGTAAGTATTTCATGAGAACTCCCAAATCAACCAAGTCAACATTTACCAATTGTGAATTGGCTTTGCTAGGTGATTTGAAAAGACCAAACAAGATTTCAAATTTGTTATATCCATTAAGATCAATAGTGAGCATAAAATCAGGTCGATGACCTTCACCATCAGAATCTATTTTTCTAGATGCACTTGCTAGTGACATCTTATTAGCCCTGTTGCAAAAAAGAAACAATAGATGTTAAATTAGAGTATTAAACTTTAAATGTTAAACAAATTAATTGACAATTAAAATCCATAGAAATTACCAATTAATTGTTTTCCCTGGCTCATCTGGGAAAAATGGTCGCAAGATGGAATGTATCAGATAGTGTACATAAGTATCTTCAATTGTTAATGGGTCATCAAAAGTTGTACGCAAATTTTCCACACTATTAAATTTGATGTATTTGAGTGTAGAATTGGTATTTAATTTGAGAAATATATGTTCAAATAGAAAACAAGGAGTATACTTACACATGTCCTCAAACTTTCTGACAAGTCCTGAGCAAATGCTTATCAATAGAATTTTTCTTTAAATTATCATAAACAACTTCAATAGAATCTTCTAAATTCATTCGAGTTTCTCTTGCAATTTTTGCACACTGATGACATAATTCACTAACTACATTTGGTAGATCATGTTTTGAGTACATATCCTTCATTTGTTTGAAGACCTTTCTCCGAATGTCTGAAGGAATGTTCAACTTTGCACGAATAGAATTCTCTTCCAAGAGAAGTATGGAGTTCAATGTCCTAAACATTATATAAAATCTTAAATAAGTAAAGTACTAATCCTATTGTACATTATGTGACACTTCATAATAGATAAACAAGTAAAACTGACAGCATTTCACCCGGATGGTTTGAATAGGTAAGTTTATGTTCATTTGCCATAGATATAGCATGCTCTTTTAAACTGAAAAATGATTCACTTATGCTTATTTCATAAATGATCCATTCCTGCACACATAGTTATTATTTTTATTAGTTAATGATTTAATAAAAAAAAAATTAGAAAGAATGTGACATATACCACTCTTGCAGGCCTCGGATCTTCTTTAAAATTCCACTTTAACACGCATCTATTTTTAGTTACTGACTTTATAACCTAAAAGTATTAGAAAAGGGTGTTAAGACAGTTAAATGATCAATTTGTAATCAATTATGTAAATCTTTGGAGTATGCTCACTTACAACATTAGGTGACTCCACATCCATTTGTCTTCTCTTAATTGATGTCAATTCTTCATCTTGTCCTAAAGAATGCTTCTTTGTTTCTGAGCCATCGGACTGTAGTATAATAAAATGGTATTAAAAACATTTAGCAAGATTATATAAAGGACAATAAATCTGTAAAATATATACTTACTATATCTCATTTTTTTGATCATTATCTGAGAAGATAAAATGTTTTACAGCAGCATTTGTAGTTGCATGTATTGAAATGCACTTGATTTTTTCCTAGATAAAAAAGAAAGCTAGTGAATATCAAAATCAAAAGAATTATAGTAAATACGCATAACAATACCTTGTCTATATCATTAATTTTGTTCAAACTAGCTAGTTCTTGTGTGAATTTCTAAAGTGTAGGTGTCATTTTATATTTCTTTTATTGAATAAAAAAATTTATACGTTAGAAAGAATTGCATGTTCACAAAAAGGATAATATAATCCCAACTGCGTATAATGTGATATGATCCAAAGATTGAGTGCAATCTTTAATACAAGGATCTATATACCACACATACTCCCCACTTTCGGGCTAACCGCAGACCCTATTATGACAAAGTCACTCAACCGCAGTTGCAGGGTGTAGTTGGGCTCCACCAACAGTATGACAAATGCGTGTCATGAAGGAATCCATACTCATGACACTCTTCTTCCCATCCAGATAACCGCAGAAAATCTGTTTATGAGACCTCAGTCCTGGGCATAGCAAAGTGTCACTCTGTTGGTGGATATGAAGGGAAAAAAAAACTGACCTGAAGACTTTTACGAATAGAATTTGCATTCGCATATTTTTACTCTTACTTGGAAGCCTTTTTAAAGTATGTCAAAGTGCAGAATGAGAACTTTGCGGTGTACCGTCAGGAACTTTGCTTATATAAAATACATTCCAATTTTGCACATCGCCCCATAAATCAGGATTCCTATCCCAATAATCTAACGAGTTTTTGATAAATCGTAAATATAAATATCAGCTAGTAAAATTAAATATATTTGATATAGAATAGATTACACAGAACAAGAGAATCATAGTAACTTACCAGGATAGCGAAGAAGGTCAAGAATTTCTCTTGGTAAATGCGTCATAACAATAATAACATTAATAATAATAATAAAATTTTTTCTGTATCGGTATCAGGGACGATGATTAATGGCGTTTCGCAAAATATCACAAATGCCACAAAATTTGTGATAATCACAAAATTTTATTTTTTCAAAAAATGCGATAATTTCATCAAATTACTTTATTTAAAATCTATTATTATTTTACTGCAATTACAAATTTTGATTATTAAAATACAAAAAATTCAAAGCAGCAATTGAATTTTCTGAAAGTGCGTGCCGTCTATCACTAAGAATATTGGTATATGCCGAAAAACTTCGTTCTACATCTACTCCAGATACCGGAAGCCAAATATAAAGGCTAGTCTTGCTAACAATAATTGTATTATATGAATAATAATCAAAGATCAATGTTACTAATTGCTTGTGAAAATTGATGTATTTTATATTTCTCTTTTCTGGAACAAATCTACAATATGCAGAGAAGCTATTTGCCTCTACAAATATAAGATAAAAGACAAAAATATGATCTGCAGTAAATTCGGTAAGCTTTTAATTTTGTTTTTCCAATAGATATTTAAATCAAACTCTCCATCATCAAACTCCTCTTCCTAACTACAATAAATTCTCCATTCTTGCATAATTTGATCTGTTGGATTTTTAAATTCTTTGAATTTCCGAATATAAACTAATATTATAATGATGTTGTTGAGCACGAATATAATGTGGATCAAAACATTGAATTGCTTTAAATAAAGGTAATGCTAAATGATTGTCAATATGTTTTTTTAACTTGTTAAAAGCTAATTGATA